ACCTGTCTTTATAATTTCTTTTTTCTCAGTGGTAAACACTGACAGTCTGCTGGTGGGTTTGAAGAGTCCTGTGCATAGTCAAATCTGGCTTTTAGCATTGATTGAGAGTAACCCCAGGGAGGATATAGAGGGGGCGAAGAGGAGCTCTGAACCCCACTAGATTTGTGATTGTAGACAGTTGAGTATCTGTGAGAGGACCATAGAGGATAATGGAGCACTGCATGTCTTGAAGATGCTGATGGTAAGTTGCTTCGTAACTAAATATGAAGCGACTGTCTACCACTAAATCCACAGCTAGAACAAAAAGAAGTAAAAAAAAAAAAAGTTATGAAGGCTTGCCTCTGCTGGTGACTTAGCACTCATAAGGTAAGCAGGTACCATTCGTACTAAGGCACATTATTACAGTGTGGTTTGGGTGGAACTCTGTAGGGCAGATGCCTGCAGGCCTGTTTTTCAACATTTATGTACTATCTAAAAAGAATCAGACTGCTAACATTTTGAGGTGATTTGAGAAAAATTGCCTCAAAATCCTCCACCTGTGCTGAAAGTGGCAAGTAGACTGACACCACAGAAGAAAAACTAGTCCTCGGAGAGATCAGCTTAAATTTGGCCTCTGCAGCAGTTTCTTCTGCTGAAGTCTCTGGCAGCCAGGCTGCTCCATCATTCAGCAGGTGCTAGAAATGAAGGATGAGGATGTCTTTCAATGGTAGGTACAAAGTTCAAAAGTGTTTGGCTGTCAGAAACACCTGTGGCTGTGTTGACCAAGCCAAGCTTGGCAAGGGGAGGTCTTGAACAGGTATATGCAACACCCTTTTTTATTTTTTTAATTAAGCTACAAATGCCAGAACTGGGATTCACACCATATTATAACTAATGCAGCAGTCTTTCTGTTAGTGTGCTCCATTTAAAAAACTGATAGGGTTTATGGTTGTTCAAAGGTCTCCTTAGGCTTGAAAGCAGACATACTGAAGTCCTACCCCTTTGTGTTGTGTGCAGTTGTCTGTTTCTTTTTCAGCTTCAGGATCTGTTAGAGCTTCATGGCTTTAAAATAAATATGCTCATGAGCAGGCCACAACACAGTATAACCTCCCAAAAAGGACAGCAAGATGTATTTCAAGATTAATTTTCTTAAATCCTTGGTGACTTAGGGTTTTTTGGCAATGTGGGATCTTGGATGATTACGTAAGGCTTATTTTAAGCCAGAGCATGCAGAAATATGCCTGTGACTGTGATTTGATAGCATGTCTTGATAATTGCACGTGGAGGTAGCTGCGCTAAGACCTGCTTGCACTAAAGCAGGGTCTATGGAGACTGACATTTACCTTCAATTTCCCCCCCCCCCCCCCCCTAACCCCCCCCCTCCCCTAACCTGGGCTTCCCGGTGGGCTGTCAGAGGCAGGTTTTTCTCCCCACCCTGCCCTGGAAGGGGCTGTAGGTGAGTTTGGAGCTAGCTGGTCTGAGGAATACATGCAGCAGCTCTGCTCCACCAAAGCAGAAGGTAGGAAATCAGCACAGAAGACGACTGCAGGAGTCTTCCCATAATGAAGTTTGAACCATTATCCACTGAAAGAACAGTTTGAAATACTAGCTAAATATTTAATAAATGATTTTAAAACATTTTACTATAAATAATAAGATAATGTGCCCCTACTCATCTGGCACTTTTTAATTGCAATTAATGATCTTTGTTGCTTACTCACTTAGACAATTTACTTTTATCCACTCTTTACATCTGGGAAAATAATAAATTGAATGGCTTTATTCCGAAATCCATTTCTAAATGAATACTTCCATTGATTTGCTATTAATTTCATATTGGCTTTTCTCTAATACATTGCTACTTTTAAATGAAGGACTCTGTAGTTAGTGTTTTTCTTGAGAGACTTGACAAGCACTCTGTCATGATGCTGGCAAGCCTGGAGCTTCTAATGGGACCTCATGTTCTCATTTCACGTGTCTGTCAGAGTTTTAAAATACTGTATTTCCAGAAGGTGACACTGGATGTTTTGGCTTGACCTGTGTAGCTTGCATTTGGTCAAATTTTGGAATAGCATATTGCATGCTACTAATAACTTGTAACCTAAATATTAGAAAATACTCTCTAGCCTTATTCAGGTAGTGTATTTGCATTTGTAACGAAGCAGTACAAATCCATTGTTGAATAGACACCATGAAAACACTATCTGCTTGTTAAAATAATTGATAGATATGATAGTGTTGCTGTAACTGTGTTCTCACAATTAAATGCAGGTAGAAATGTGCAAGGCAGTCCTTGCACATATGTCCTAGTTGGTGTTAATAACTCTGTGGCTTCTAGAGTGCACCTCAGACTGTGTGTTGCAGATTTCTTCGCGTGTGTGGTAGCTCTTCTGTAAAATTTGAGTGGCAATTCTGGGCAAGACCAGACATCTTTCTAGCCCGACATCTTGTCCATGACTCCAAGTGGGTATCAGAGGAAGAGTGAGAACACAGCAAACATGCATCATACTTCCCCCACAGCCTAGCGTCTGGCTGTTTCCAGTGCGGTGGATTTCCCAAGCCACATGGGGGTTTCTGCCTGTTTAGTTAACCCTCCAGCAAATTTCTTCCATGTACTTGTCCAGTTCCCTCTTGAACCCAACTCTCAGCATCCTTGACATCTTTTGGCAAGGGGTTCCACACAGTTTTATTCCCCTCTGCTCAAAGAATCGTTTCTGCTTGCTTTGAAAACTTTTCCTCTTGACTTCATTTTGAATGGTTTATTCTTGTGTTGAGAAAGTGGGTGGACAGTCTATTCCTGTGCACCTTCTTTGTGCCAACAGTGTTTTTGTCAACCTCTTTATCGTATTTCTTTCATAGCTATCTCAGGCTTGAAGAGTCTTGCATTTTGTACTAAGATGTAACACCTTTTACATGCTTCTGCCAACAGGTGGCTGGTTTTAATAGTCAACTTTTTAAATGCTTTAAGATATTGCTGGGTATGATGTAAGCATATTACTTTACTAGTGTATTAAGCATTAAGTAAGCATATTGCTGGGGGGGTGGACTAGATGACCTTTAAAGGTCCTTTCCAATCCAAACTATCCTATGATTCTATGATATTACTGTACTAGCCCGAACATAACATGACCTCAGATAGAAGGCAGCTCCAGTTCCCACAGAACAGATATAAAAGTGACAAGCTAAACTCAAAGTGCCATCCTGGCAGTGTGCCCCTCCTTCCTGGCCTGCTTTCCGGATCTGCTGCTCTCCCTCTTTGCAAACCCGTGAATTGAAGACATACCAGAGAGAGGTCATGGCTAGGTTGATATCTGACCTTGACTATTGCTGGAAGGAACCTACGTTCAGATTTAAATTTGACTCTCCTGAATAATCTTCATAGCAAGTATTTTCACCTCCTTTGATCCTTTTTTCAGTTTCTAAATATGCTGAGCAGTGTATGAACATGTACTGGTATCAGTCTTTCTGGGACCTTGTGGGTGCAATCTCCTCTCCATTGTGAGAACTGACCATTCATTGCTTTCTTATCTTTAATACACAAAGTGGTGTATTTCCTCTTTATCCCATAACTCAGATTTTTAAGAACCTTTGAGGGATTTAAAAAAAAAAGTCTTTGAAAATCTGATTACGTTGTATGACGTAAATCACCTTTATCCACTTGCCTTAACGCAGTAGTGAGGCTAGTTGTCCAAAGGAATCTGGATGGCTGTTGCTTCATCAGTGATGGGCAACTGTGAGCTCTTGCGAAGACCCAGTTGTAAATGTACTTAAAGTGCATACCAAGAAAGTTGGATATTTAGTTTTGAAGTTTTCCTTCTGGTGAATGGGGGGGAAATACCTAACATTTGGGCCACCGTACTATGTAACTATACTCGTACACAGTGAGTGAACTTGTTCTATTCTGTGTACTACAATATGTAAGAACAACAGAAATAACTGTGTGTCGTGGTGTAGCCCCAGCCGGCAACTAAGCCCCACGCAGCCGCTCGCTCACTCCCCCCTCCCATGGGATGAGGGAGAGAATTGGGGAAAAAAAACTCGTGGCTTGAGATAAAAACAGTCTAGTAGGACAGCAAGAGAGAAAGAGACAACAATGATAACAACAATAATACCAACAAAGGAATGTACAAGAACAAGTGATGCCCGATACAGCAATTGCTCACCACCCAGCGATCGACAGCCCGTCCCCGAGCAGCGATTTCCGCCCCCCGGCCAACTCCAGTTTATGTACTGGGCATGATGTCGTATGGTAGAGAATATCTCTTTGGCCAGCCTGGGACAGCTGTCCTGGCTGTGTCCCCTCCCAACTTCCCGTGCACCCCCAGCCTTCTTGCTGGCAGCCCAGCACGAGAAGCTGGACTGTCCTTGACTGCTCAGCAACAACCCAAAACATCAGCACATTATCAACATTTTCTCATCCCAAATCCAAAACACACAGCCTCACAGTAGCTTCTGTGAAGAAAACCAGCTCTATCTTGGCTGAAACCAGGACACTGTGGAAGTAAAATCTTGGTCTAGCTGAAGTTTGTAAGAGTATTTCTGTGCTCTAATGAAATTTGGATTTGGTTTTTGGCTGCCTTATTTTATTTGTGCCTCAGACCTCATGAAGTAATATAAAAATGAAGTAACTATCAAAAGTGTGATAGGCACTTTCTGATTACTTTTAATATCACGTTTCTTTCTCTTCCTAGAGAGCAAATCAAAAGGCCTCCAGTGGGTGATAGATACAACCATTGCCTATCCCAAAGGTGAACCCATAGACATCCAAACTTGGATTCTTGGCTACCGGCAACCAACGGTTACACATGTACATTACAGGTAGGAAATAAACCGTCTACTCTTACATTGAACTAAAATATTAAAAAACAATTATTCACAAATTAGTAATATCGTGTGTCAGGATATGGGAAATCAGTAGCAATGTCTTTTTTTGTGTGTCTTACAGAGGTGGGCAACTCATATTACCAAAACACAACAGGTTTCTTTTCAAAAGTTCAGTGACCATCTTGTATCTTAGCACGCTTAAGTTTTTGACTAATGTCCTGTGGCTGAATATAGTTATGGGGAATATAGTCGATGGCTAGGTCATCTTTTCTACTTTAATGTTAAGATGCTGGTAAACCAAACTTGATTTTTTAAGTTTTTTTGTTTTTAAATAATGACAACAAATAAAAATCACCATGTTATTAAATAACAGGTTTTCTGAGACATGATTATATATTGTATTTAACTTTCTGACAAAGAAATGTCAGCTTTTTCACTCAAAGCATAATCTTAATAGTTGAGCAGAGGAACACTCTGGAAATAGTAGCAAATCTCATTGGCACCTAGGATGGGATACCATTAAAACTTTTCCCCTCAGCAGTTCTTGGTCTCAAGTTCTAAACTAATGGAGAGAGTAGCTGCATTTTGCTTTTGGTTTGCAGCTAATTACAAGTCTGAAATATCCAGAAATATTTTAACATTTTTCCTATACCAAATGAGTTGATCACATTTTATCCCAAAATTGCATTATTTTGTCTTAATTCCCTTTTGCTGATTTGGAGAGCTTTTAGACTTTTACAGTAAGCTTTCAGATAGTCTTGTGTGGATCCCCTGGGTGGCAGTTTAACTGGGAATGACCTTCTCCAGCATCGCTACTGTGTCAGTGTTGTGTGATTCAGAGTACAGGCTGCTCACTGGAGCGCCTTTCCTCAGCCATGTTTAAATCTGTCTCTGCTTTTTATAGAAGTCTGCCTTCAAGTTTTTCCAAAGGTGAACATACTTAAAACCTAATTTATGTAAGATATCATAATATCTGTTGTGCTTTATTCAGGTCACCTTAGTACTCCCTCAGATCTCTGGGATAATTGCAAATTGAATGTATTTAGAATTTTACTAAAGAGTTCCAAAAATACTTCCTTTAAAAAAGAGAGAAAGTTATCTTAAGTTGAATTAACTTCCTGCTTCTAAGTGTGCATATTCAAAACTTATTTTTGAGCACGAGCATAAAGATGATGTAACCTTCCTTGCACTGAACTTGAATGTTACAGTTCTTGTACTAAAATTCTAAGAAAAAATATTATAAATTGTTTATTGTTGGGTGTAGGTTTGTGGTTATCTTCCAGAGAGGGTCTAAATCTTTTTTTTTTTGTTTTGTTTTGTTTTAAAATAACCTCTAGTTGTTATGGCTGACCCTGTAAAAACATTTGAAGTATGCCCCAAATGGAAACTAATGCAGCAGCATGTCTCTGAAGGCCAAGAGCTGGATGTAATACCTCTGAAATGAGAACTGAGTGTCTTGGTTTTAACTGGAGCTTTGGCTAACTTTCCAGTCCTGGTAATTCTTAAATTGGCACGTCGAGTTTAGGCACGTGTCCTCTGGACTGTAAGGGCTTTAGCTGGGTGCAGGGTGGCAATTCTTAAAGATGTATTTAACGCAAAGTACCCTGGCTCTGACAGCAGGCAGTAGCAGCACAGGCGCCGAAAGGCAGCCCACACGCCATCCGTCCACATGTAAACACCCAGTGACTGTAGTATGTTCTGAGCAGGTGTCACATCTGGATCATTCTTTTGGTAGGTGCTGAGGGACCTGGCCTTCATGAACTTGTCTAATACTGTTTTTACCCTGCTTTACTTAGACTTCTACAATTTCCCATGACACAACATAACTGTTCTTGAGGGTGGCAGCCAGGACCATTTCCTTTTTGCTTGTGTTAAGTCCTCCACTTGATGCCTTCAGTGGGTGCACCCAGTTTCCTGTGTCCTGCCAGTAGTGGATGAATCACTCCTCAGTGACGCTCTCCTTGGCCCGTGACTTTACAGAGCTTTCTCATGCCCTGCCTTCGCTGTCCCTGTCCTCCCAGCCCGACGAGTCTTCATCTGTTTGGCGTCTCCTTACACAAAAGCCTTTCCCTGATTATCTTGTTACTTTTGTCTGCACCTTTTCTGGTTCTGCTGTAACTAGCTTGTGAGTTGACTGACATCCTGAATGCCCCACAGTGATTTCAGGATCACTTACCGGAGTAATAATAGCTAATCTTAGAGGCTGTGGCAGTGTATGCATAGCTGCTGGTGCTTTTTCCCCCTACCCAGTTTTCATTGCCTTGCATTTACTGGTATTTAATTTCATCTGCAACTATTGTCATGTCCTTCTGCAACTCTTCTCTTGGACTACCCAGCCTAATTCTATGCCAAGAAAGTCATAACGCTTTTGTATCTTTCCCCCCCGCCCCCCCCAGATTTAGTGTATCATCTAGCTATGATATGCTAAGACCTTTTAATATATCTGGAATTAGAGCTGTAGCTTGGGGTCAATATAGTGAATTTTCACCTTCAGTGTTTTTGACAATAAAATTTTATTTTTAGATACTTTCGTGTGGCTTTAAAATTATTTTTCTGTTTTACGTAAAAGATATATTTATCCATGGCAGGATTAGCAGAGTGTGACTGAACAGCGTGTGTACATGAATTTACTCATGTTGCATCATCCTTTTATATTGTTTATACAGAAATTTTCCTGTTGGATTCCCTTCAGGGCATTACAGCAACTGATCCCCGCCCCCCCGATCACCTGGCTTTACTCATTAGGGGTTTGTTTTCTTTTTATCAGAATGCTGTAATGTCGTGGGCACCTTCAGAGTTTTGACAACTTTGAATCATGTATTGATGATTTGAACAGAGTTGTTGGAACCATTGAGAACCTGTGAAGATGGAGTATGTGCCTGGGAAACTGGGGGTGGCTGACAGGGAAGAATAGGGAACTCTTCTCTCGCAGAGGGCTTCTGGTGTTAAAGAAACCTTACAGCTCTGATAGCACTTTATTGAACCTTCTCCGGGATTGGGAGGATGAATAATTGAAGCTCAGGGGGCTGACACTGATTTCTTAGAACTTATTTTTGGAATTATAGGTATGGTCAGTGGAAAACTGTCTCTCAGGAGCTCGGACTGTGTGCCTCCTAGGTAGTGTCCTCACTTGTCCGAAAATACAGTGATGTCTCAAGTCTGTTTCTGTGTCAGATCTTAATCAGGAGCAGTTCTGGAAAAACACCAGAACCCTTTATGCTGGTTCAACAGTGCACACTACAACAGCTGTCCTTTGTGGCCAGCTAACTGATCCCTACTGTGCCAACCTCCTTCCTCTCGCCCTGGCACCTCTGTTGGGAAACGCAGAGCTACCTTTTAATGTGCTGAAAAGTGTCCTGGGAGGTTTCTGTGCGGTGTTGCTCCCAGAGGGCTGGTCAAGCCACGGGCCAGAGGATGACACACCAGACCTGTGTAGCTGTACAGCTTGACCAGGAAACCTAAACTACTTTAAGTTCACCCTCCATGTGGAGACCAAAACATGGCTGTAGCAGAGCCATTGAAGTATCTGGGGTTGTCAGCTCAGAACCCCAACACTTATTCTGCAGGTCACAAATTCGAGGTGGTTCCTTAGGAATTCTTAATTTTGATAACAATTGGGTACTCTTTGTCCTTAACACTGTAGGCAAGGATTAAATCAGTGACTGAGGTTTGAAAAGGCCCAAGATGTCCCTTGTAAAGTTGGTGCATTTCTTGAATTCTTTGAAACAAACGCAGTTAGCAAAGGAAAACCCAAGGTAAAGTGGACTTCATCTTTAAAAAGATGGAAATGACAGAAATGTCTTCCAGAGATGGAAAATGTCAGAGGTATTTCAATTTTTCTGCATTTGACATAGATGTTCTCTGAAATTCTCATGAAATGTATATTGAGAATGGCTGGATTGTTGTTCCTGCACACACACCACACACAACACACCACCCCCCACACACCACCCCGCTTTTTCTTCATTTAGCACAATAAAATCTTGCTCATTGTTTGTAGTTTGGAATGTCTCGGGAGATTACGTTTTAAATACATTTTAAGGGTAACCTTTAAATAACTGGGGAGAGATAAAGTTCTGTGTGAGTCTGTGTGCTGTAGTGCACTAGTTTATCATCTATCATTTCAACTGCATTACAGCAAAAAAAAAATAAGTAAAAAAAAACCCCAAAAAACCCTTTGGAGAAAGTAAAGAATAGTTTTGACCAGATACCATCTCTACTGTATGAAAGGAGAACTGGGATTTAAACATGCTTTTCCCCTTTTAGAGTAGTCCAGAGTGAAGAATTGATGTCTGACAGTAGTGGGGGTGAAAAAAGCAACATTTTCTGTGCTACTTGAACTGGAGCAGAGGAGACCGCAGAGGCTCTCTTGTTCTGGTCGCTCGGTCAGTCCTTTCTGCTGTTCCCCTTGGTCACATCCTGTCTTTCTGCCTTACGGTCTTTCAGATCTAGCGTTTGCCTTTTCTCATAGCCTGTCCTTTTACTGCAGGATCATTTCTTTTTCACCCAATGTAGGGAGCAACAGAGGAATGTAGAGGACACAGAAAGCAGCCTTACGTTTTCATTTTTAGATGCTTCTCTAGCTGATGGAAATGGCAGAGAAGGATGAGTTTAATCCAGTAATCTTTTTTTGTTTGAAAGCTCCATTTTGATAATGAGTTGAACTTTGCTTTTCAGACTTCAATTTTTGGTACAAATGACATGTTTTTTGGAAGTTCTTAATTAGGCTAAGCTGTAGCCTGATTTTCCTCAGGATGTTGAAAGAAACTTCTCTTTTTTTCTAGAAGGACGATTAGCACGTTTCAGATTCTTCAAAACAGAAAGGCGTGAGAACTTAACCCTTCTAACAATGGAATAAATTTTTGACCCTGACAGACTTGTCTCAAAACTCACTGGAAAGTGCTGAAAAACTGAGTTTGTTCTCCAAAATGTAATATTCAAGGAAAATATCTAATTAACTTCTTCCAAGTCAAACAATGCTGGGATATTTTGGGGAAATTTCAACCCAACTGTTAAAGCAGTAAGCACAAAAAAAACCCCACCAAGGGCTGGAAGGTGCAAGGCGTCTCTAACTAGAGGCATCACTATGAGACCTGCATTTTAATGAGCCTTTTGGAAGGGTTTGTTTCCTCTTCTCATTATAAATGAGACCATTCTGGTCTAGATTTATGCTTGGGTCATTTTGTGGTGTGCATTGACCATAAATCCAGATTCACTGCAGTTGTGCTCAGCAGAAATAAGCTGAGTGGTTTGTGTCTGTGTAGCAAGGCTGCATACTGGCTACTGTTCTCAGCTCCCATCGTTTCCCCACAGTGAGTTGAGTTTTGGGATTATTTCTTTTCTTCTTACACCAGTCACTTCTTTAGCCTAACTGACTTGGTGTTTCTCATCTCATCTCCAAGTTTCTCTAATAGTCAGATTTCCCATGTGCTGCAGTTCTGTTGTCAAAATCCCAGAGTTAAGCACTGAAAAAAACCCTGGGTATGAAGTTTGTTTGATGCTTAGCTTCCCCTCAGTAAAGGATGGTGTGGGGTTGGGTTTTTTTGCATTAGCTTCCCACTGGGTCATGCCCTTGTTTGACCAGATCCCACGCGTGCACTGCGTGATAGTGACGGTGGTGCAGAGGCCCCACAGTCAGAGGCAGCCATAGCCGCCTCTGCCGCAGAGGATAGCTGCGTTGTTGCTGCGTGAAACTACCACGCTATTTCCAGCTAACTCGGCTGCCCGTGTGCCATAATGTGGACGAGTACTATGTCACCTTTCTTTCTCATACCGGTTTTTGTGCTGTGCTGCTGTTGAAACAAGCTTTCAGCTACTGAGGAAGTTCTTTTTTTGTGTGTGTCTACATTGATACAGATTTCTTGAAATAAATGAGACTCCGAGCTATAAACAGGATGGAATAAATTGTGGTTGCTGAATGAGTCTTGCAGAAATGTCTATGAAGGGCATCCAGTTTGTCAATATATTTTAATATGCTTATTTATGCAAGTAACTTACCTTTGGTCATGCCTGAGATCTACCAACAACCTCCATCGTGCCGAGTTTATTTAAAGAGTCATTGAAACAGCAAATAATGTTATTATTTAGAAAGAGTAGGGGATAATAAAGAACTTTAATTCAGGGTAGGACAGATGATGAAAGGCAATTAGTACTTAAGGTGGGATCTGTGAACTTTAGAATTTTAATACAGAATCAGAGATTGTTTCTCCAGTAAGGACCATTTAAAAGATATTAAATGTTTCTGAAAATGCCGTATTTCTGAAAATTATTTGGTATCTTTTGAGAAATGGCCTATCAGTAGGCAAGTCTCCACGATTTATGTATGCCAATATGTCTTTGGCAGTTACATCTCCTTTTTTTTTTAAAATCCTTTCTTCTTTCCTGGACTGTCATTTATGCTACTATATTCTGGTTTGGGACATAGAGCACATTCGTGTAGTGGTTTAAGAAAGTTGCCATCCCTCAGTCAGCTACGTGGAGTGTCCCGCGACTGTTGTCACCTCACAGCTGCAGACAGGTAACCTCTAGCTAGAAGACAGCGCTTCATTGCGGAGACAGCACTGCTTTTACTGAAGTTTAGCCGCTTCCCCACTTCCCTCTCATGATAGCAAAGCAGCTGTTCCCTTGATGAGAAATGAGAAATCATTTTGCTTGAATTTTCTGGTCATCCATTGCTATTAAATTCCTTGTTTGCTACACCAGGAACAAAGATGCTCTTATTTTCATGCAATGTGAGGTTAGTTTTGTCCCAAAAGTGCCCAAGAGAATCTAGAAGCTTCAGATATTACATGTTGACCGTGTTCCTAGTCACGACAGTTCTATATGGTGATAACATTCTATTTTCCTGAAGAGGTCCGCAAACTGTTCACTTTTAGTGGCGTTCCTGATGCTGTATACCCAAAGGTGGGGTAGAGCCAAGATGATGCTCATACTGTGACCTCATTGATAACTGTTTACATATCTCATTGAACAGAAGAAACAATTTCCTGCATCTTTTAACACTAGACCTGGTAGACCTCGCAGCCGATGGCTGGGGAATGACCCTACTCCAGTCAGAGCATCGGCTTTCCACCCTTGTTTTGGATGGTCTGTGTGGAGAGTTGTGTAACAGTAGACTTTTCTCAGTTACCTTTCCTTAACCCAATCTCTCTGTAAAGAGTGTGTTCTTTTAAAACACACGTTCCAGCTTGAACCATCTGATGGGCAGAGAATGATTTTATTGGCAGCATGTTTAGTATAAATAAAATGGGGCTTGGCTTCACCTTATCTAGTACAGGAATGGTTTGTTCCATACTGTAAGGATTTTAATTTTTTTAAACATTTTGTCTTTAATTTGCCTCAGTCATTAATAAAAATGTTCTGCTTGTAAAAATAACTCTGGATAACCTAAAAGTATGTTTGAAAGTGCTTCTAAATACACAAGCACTAGCACTTACCATTGCTAAATTGTCACAGCCAGTGTAGCGTTATTGGAAAGCCAGTTGTTTTCTACTCTGTATTAATATTAATTCAAAATGGGTGTAACGGTGATTGATTCTTAAACTTGCAGAGTTAATATCCAGAGATTCAAGTGTTCTGGTACCGTATTGATTCATACAAGAGCCTGGATAGATTCAAGCAGGAAAGTCATGTGCCGCGTTCCGTTAGTCTCTCACAATACTGGTATTGCTTATGCTACTTCGCTGCTCCATTGAAGTGCTAGCTCATAAATTGTTTTGAATTAGTACCTTGTAAGCTCTTGTGGTAATGTTCTCACACTAGTAAGTACATTCTTGGAAAAATACCAGGCTGAACTAGGTTGCTGAGTTGTAGAGTTATTGCCCATTAGGTAACTGAGAAGTGAAGGTGGAGGCAACGAATATCAGCAGCTTGCAATGGAAACTGCGCATGAAGCCAGGTGATCCTAGGCTTCTGTCCCTGAGCCCACACACGCGTTTTGCTAGTTCTGAACTGTCTTCAGATTTGCGTAAGCAGACACCTGTCCTTCAAAAATATACTGTGAAACACAATATTCAGTTGCCGAGTCCTTTTATCTCTTTGAAGCAGATAGGCAGAAGAGAGTAAAAATAGTGCTTGGCAACTCAATTGCATTTGGGGACAGAGAGTAAGTCTGTCTTGGTGTTATACCCTCAACAAAAGTGGTCCTTTCTCAGTGGGTTTGTTTTTTACTTGCCTCTACATGATGTAATTTTAATCTGCTGTACAACATCTGGGCTTCAGGATAAAATAGTTCTTTATTACCAGTCTTTATGTCATTGTTCTTAATATGCATGCCGAGGACTTGAGCTGTTTACTTGGACCACCAACTATTTCATAATATTTGTCTTTGGCCAAAGACTTTTCTTCAAACTGTATTTTACCTGAGAGAACAATTGCTGGTTTCTGGTTACTGACACTGGCTTTACTAGAGCACAGAGAACTCCGCAATGTGAGAAGGATGTAGGTAGAATTGCTACAAAGGCTACAGAAATACCCGAGATTAATACCTGCCATGAAACACCTATTTCATGTTGATGCCATAGTTGGTAAATAAAATTGTTCATCTCCCTATATTGAAGTTATCTCTGTACACCAAAGCACCATTATTTTTAATTTGCTCATTAGAGCAATGCTTTGCTGCTCTTCTCCCCTTACAGCTTATTTTTCCATGCATCAAACTGAAAGGAGGAGGTGCAAATGACTTGGCAACAAAGCAAGGAAAGATGTTGAAAACAGTAACAGCAACAGAAGCATTCTTCAGAAGTGTCTTATTTTTGTAGTCTGACGTTCCCATAATCTGTTCAGACACTTCCCACATGATTGTGGTGTTACTTCAAATTCTTTTCAGTATAATCAATCAAGATGCTGTTTAAAAAGAAATGAAAATAGAAGCATGGCATAGACGACAGGGTAAATGAGACCTCACCTGAAAAGAGAAGCCTACAGTAAAGGTCTTACATTTCAGAGTATGAATTTTTCAGGCTAGACTGATACACAGATCTATTCTGCATTGGCCTCCCAGTGAAACACAGTGGATATGTAAGTTCTTACATATATCAAAAGGCACTTTGGATCTATTATGGAGATTTTGCAATTACTGTAAGACTTGAAGTTGTATTTAAAAAAAAAAAATCCATTGAGGTATGGTGGGTTATTTGGGGGTTTCAGTACGTATGTATCTCGGTGAATTCTGCCCTGGATATCTGATTGTCTAAGTAGACCTAATATTCAGTGTAGAAGTACCAGAACATTGGTAATTCTTCCATTGGGGTTTTAAAAACAGAGTAGCAATATTTGAGTACACTTACATGGTCAGTTTTCAGTGTAAAACCTGCCTTAGAAATTTCAGACAAAGATGCTGGCATCCTTGGAAAAGCCCAGAGGACTTGTTTTCTGCGATACAGAAGAGCTATGGGTACTAAGTGATGTCATTGCGTAGCTTCTGCCCGTTGAAGAACTGTTTCTTCAAAACTGTGGATGAACCTTCTCAGTCTTTTTCTTTCTTTCTCTTTCAATGTGTGAACTTCATTGCTGCTTGGTTTGTATTTTTTTGAGGTAGTAATACAGTACAGTGGTAATCTATTTAAAAACAAAACCACCAACTTAGTAGCTTTTATCAAATGCTGTACTACAGCATTTGATAGAAGCTAATAATGCCTGTGTCCTCTGTGTGCATCTGGCTGTTAACCTGGAATATTCCAGTTTTGTATGCTTAATAACCTATGTGATGCGTGAATTGGAGAGAGAACGAACCATGCAGTTAGATTTATACCAAATCCTCATTCTCTGTGTTTTGGGGTGGGCTGGAGCAGAAGGGAAGAGTGTTCTTCACATAGAGAATGCATTCCCTAGGTTTAATTTATGTTTGTTTCTTTGGTAGGATTTTTCCAGTTAAAGATGTACCTGCAGAGCCTGAAGCTCTTACACACTGGCTATACCAACGATTCATTGAAAAGGAGGATCTCTTGACACATTTCTATGAAACAGGTAGGATAAACTGTAGCAAACAGAATTGTGCTTTATTAATGTCTTTTCTTACAAGGATCTTGAAATAGTTTAAGAATGTGTGTACACTATTCACTTGAATACAATAGATACAGTTATTACTACTTTTTATGTGACAAAAAAGTATGATAAAAAATTATCTAGGAAAGGTAAATTAACCAGGTAGCATTAGAATAGGGTAGCGTTTGGAAGCTGGCACATTCAAAATGGACCTAAGGAATTTTTTTTTATTCCCCTCCCCACCCCCACCCCCCCCTCCGCAATAACATATAGTTCAGCTGTGAAACTTTCTGCCGTGGAATTTCATTGAGTGGAACAATTTAGCGAGATTCAAAGAGGTAGTGAACTTTTTTACACGCACAGTAACAGTATTCAGAGCTTATGTTCAGTTTAGAGGGGATATAAAACCTTCAGGGTTTAAAAGGAGCAAGTTCTTGACTAAAAGGGATTAAATAAGATTCTTACATGAGGCAGGTTATTTCATCTGCTTAGTGTGGCTGTTTAGCATGTTCCTCCGGAGCTTGTACCGTTAGAGAAAACCGATCTAAGTAGTGTGCAGGTCTAATCCAAAACTATAGTCCTCTTCTGTTTCCTGTTAAGCTGAACAGAAAGATTGGAAGGATCTGTAAGAATTACATGGCATAAAGTCTCTGGAGTCCCAGTCCACAGCCCTGTGCTGTCAGTACTGGCCTCCTTGCTGCAAGGTACTGAGGATCACTTCCATCTTAACACACTTTCAGTGTTAATGGATCAGAGGCATCTAAATAAATTTAGGGCATTAGTAACATTATTGAAGGGATACTTGCAAACATGTCACTTAAAATATCGGGTAAATACTATAAAACTATAGCTGGAGAGGTGTTTCCTCAAGGCTCTTTTTTTTCCATCCACGTGTAAAAAACAGAGGCATTCATCATAACAAAAGAAAAAGAAAATCCTGAAAGGAAAAAATAGAGTTTTATTTAGACGTACAGGAAAGGAAGTTTATCAAACGTAGACTGAATAGGAAGACTCCATATGAAATAATGCAACTTGTCTCTGAAGAAAAATAATCTTTTCATTAGCAAGTCTCACAGTTGTTGAGGGGGAAAAATATTCATTCTTGTGAATCAGTTCAATAATCAGTTTAATATTCCGGAGTGACTGTGTTAAACAAAGCTACTTCTATTAGATGATTTATTGCACAGACTGCTTTAATTCTGTTTTGAGTGCTTAATTTATCAATTGTAGGGCTTAAAAAGATTAATAGAATTCCTTAACAACCCAGAGTTGTATTCTGCTTTATGAAATACTGCTGTCACCCATCCATCATTGATGGCGAAGTCAGACCCTGCTCTATAAATTGTATCCAGATGCATATATCGGACTTTATTAGACAAATAAGTTTGTGAATCTGTTTAGAACTAGAAGTGTAGTCAATAAGGAGGTAAGGAATTCTTGTTGTTGAGACATTAATTTCACAAATACCATTAAAATAAGTCATACCCAGAAATTCTAACTAGACCAGATTTCAGCGAGTATAATGAATATAATCAGATTTACTCATTGAAATGCACTTCCAAAATAGGATAATTGGTTATGATTTGCCAATGTAATCAGTATGCATTAATAAGACATGTTTTAAATGTAAATGCTATGACATAGGACCTTATTAGGCATACATTAGTATAATTTAAAGTTACTACCATTTATGCCAGTTGAGAACTTGCTTGCATTGCTTTTGTTGGCTTACTCCAAAAGTACTGTTACAGTTTCTGGAAACCCCCTGGAAAAGTCCTGCAGCCTGAGGTGAGGGGAATCCCTGAAGCTGCTCCCAAGCCAGTTTTGTTGTGACATGTTACATTGTCTCAAGTTGATGTATTTTTAAGACTTAGGGCTGTTTCAATATTTATTTTTTTCCCTTTTGTTTTTCTTAAATACACACTGCTTAGGAACTTGTCTCAGTTCATAAAGCTGACTTCATAAAGCTGAAGTAACATTTAATGCTACATGAAACTTTAAAGGCATGCATTGACTGTATCTTCAGTAGGAATACATTCTTTTGGCATATTTTTATTTGGGAAGAAAGAAAACCTAAACCACCTTTTTCCTTTTTGCGTATTCCTAAGTGTTAAGGACTTTAATTGATCTGGGGAAAACCTGTAATATTAGACTTCCTAAAATGAAACAAACAAAAAAGTATCTGCCTAAAATTTGAATATGAAACTACCCCATCTTTTCTTGGATGCATTTTACACATCTAATTTATAAAATTAAAACAGCTTACAGTTAATATCTGTAGGTATTAGCAACACACAGCCTCCTATTTTAGAAGGTAGTAGAAGCATGTATTGGCAACTTCATGATCTCTCGGAAATCTTCAGCACACAAATGAGATTACATTTAGCAGGACAAAAGCACTCGAAGACTAATTTAAAAAAAAAAACATTATAAACTAGGAGCTTATCAGTAGAAATGAGTAATTGTGTACTGAAGTTGTCATGTTCCTCATTCACTCTGATCATAAGTCAACTGGTGTAATGTAATTAAAAAAGTAAGCAATGTCGTCCTGCAGGGCTACAGGAGAGGGTTTTCAGCAGTGCTACAGAAATACTCTTCATTGTACCAAATCTGAAACCTCACCTGGAAATTCTGCATACAGGTCCGTCATCCCCGTTCAAGAAGTACGAATTGAACTGGGAAGAGGGACAGATAATAGGTGCTAAGGTGATTAAGGGGAAGGAGGAGACATTTCCTTGGACAACTGAAAGTGCTTGGCTTGTCTCAGCTAGGAAAGCGAAGGATTGTTCTCTCTGTAAGATACAAGTTGGCTTGGGAGAGGAGGAGGGGGAAGAGACAGTCGCTGTCAGTACCAAGGAAAAAGGAAAGTTATTTAAACCGGAGGTCAGTGTTGGTACCGGCAAACAAACGGGCCATGAAAGAGCAAATGTAGTGCAGAGTGGACAAATGGAAGCTTAGCAGTGAGAATTACTGGGGAATAAATGGTGTGACAAATCTGCCTGTGTGTGAAAATATGTATCGGGGAGGGGAGGGTGGGACTCATCAAGGGGGTTTTGGGGTTTTTTTGTTTACGTTTATTGGTTTGGTTTGGGGTTGGGGTTTTTTTTTTAGGGTTTTTGTTTTATTTAAGAGCGTTCCTACAGGAAGAAAAGCTTTGTCTTAAATGCTTGATTGCAGTTCCTCCAGTGATTGCAAATGTGAAGCGTACAAATAAGTTGCTGATGGTATCTAATTGCACAAATTGCGTGTTTTCTAAGATTCAGAATTGCCACTGCTATATCTTTACTTTTTGAGTCACACATCTCTTCTTCTATGAGTGGTTGTGACTCCATAATGCTGCAGCAAGTACATCATCTTCTCTGGTATAGAGCTTTTCTATCCAGTGTTCAGGATTAACAACAAAGTGGTTCATATCATCTAGGCTTTGTGCATCTCAGTAAAACGTAATACAGATTATTTAATATGGTAATGTAAATATATGCCAACAATTTCCTTATGATTTAAGCTCTGATGCATTCAGACACATGTAATTTAGTGTTGTAAATCAGAAAAGGTCAAAATAGGGGGGAATGTTTTTTTTTTTTAATTGTGTCAGCTGTGCCTCCTGCCAGCCTTTCTCATTTAAACAGACATTTGAAAAAGGCTTTCTAGAAAACTGAATAGCAAATTCCATTGCTTCCTTAGCCTATATGACTGACTGGCCAATGAATGTTCAAACAACACATTTCAAAAAAAAATGTGTTAAAAAAAAAAAAAGTGCATGTGTATATTCAAGGGGAACCTGGAAATTGTATGTGTATTGCTTCTTCACAGTATACAAAATTGTTATGGAAGAGCTGTAGGTTTCATATGGAGTCCATTCAGCTTGATCATATGGACAGTAACATAACTTCAAAAATAACAGAGAAGACTTAGTTGACAGTGGGATCTCCCTGCAAAGGTTGAGGATGGCTGCTTTTATGGAATGCTTTTAAGTTTATGCTTTAAGTTTATATCCAAATGAAATGAAAATTGTTCTTTAGGTGGGGGTTTTTAATTTTCTTGAGGATGACTGATAATGCCGGAGAATCTTTTGAAAGTTTAACAGCATAATGCAGAAGTAACCAATTATTTGTTTGTGGGCACTGTTGCTGGGACAGACAGTGATGGTAGAGAGTCGTGCATTACGGTGTTCCTGCTGCAGGAGTAAATGTGTTTTCTCTTCTCTTTTAGGAGCTTTTCCTCCACTGCAGGGCCAAACAAAAGCTGTTTCTCGGGAGATGACGCTCAGTAACCTGTGGCTAGTCGGCATACAATCACTTGCGTTTTTGTCAGGCGGTATGTGGTACTGCATCTTTCAGTATTTTTATCATTGCCTATTTTAAAAGTGGAATGGGACCTGAGGACACAGTGGGAATCCAGGCTCTTGCAAATGAATATCATGTTGTATGTGCAAATGTGAATATTCAAGAGTAAAGGAAAATACTGGACAGACTCTTACCTCTCTTTGGGGAAATTTTAAACTCCACTAAAAGTGAAGATCAGTAACATAGTGACCTGATGATGTATTATTTTAAGAATTGTCTGTATTTTTAAAGATGTATACTCTCACCCACACTTAAGCAAATTCAGCATTTGGACAAAAGGTGCAATCGTACAACCACCGTGGAAGAATGTCTGTGACGAGAAAGCTCTGTCACCACAAGCATTTCTTGGCATTGTAGTTAGAGCTCAGAAAATTCAGCAACTTGTCTCTTCAGTAGTCTGTACAGCGTTGGTGTGGTAGAGATTCCTCATTTGCACAAACTTGTACTTTATTGCAACTCATTGTGCTGGAGTCAAAGATACTTGACAGAGCTGGTGGTGGTGTCTTTGCAGCTACACAGTCAGCAGTTGTTGTATTAGACACATTGACCTAAAACCGAGACCCAAATAAGGTCCAGCGTCAGGTGTGTTTTGTGAGGAATCAGTCCTCAAAAAAGCATCGCAGTATGATTAAAAGCTGTCTGCGTTTGATGAATCAGCCCATCCCTGCTGTGGTCTTACCATCAGCTCTCCAAATTCTGTGTGCTACCAGTATCTCATATTATGAGGAAACTTGGAAAATACAAAGTCACTTGGTTTATTTTCCCTTTTTGTTCAGAATGCATCTTAACGATCATTATCAGTTTTCAAAATGCACTTTTAAAGGTGAAAATACAGTGAAGGAAAGACATAAAACTTGGGGAATAGGGGAAAGCTTTATTTATCACACAGTGCAAGCCAGAGCAATTCTAGCAGTTTCTGAAGGTCTGCTGGTGCTGCTGGTGATTTTTAGCCACATTTGTATTTTGTATACTGCAGTCCAACCAAGGTGACCTTTAAGTGGTTTATAGAGGCCTTTTTCTCCCCGCTAGTTGCAACAGCGCTAAATATACTCGTGGGAGAGTTTAAATAATTCAATGCCAACCATCTTAATGTTTTGCTAAGGAGTAATAGAAGAAAAACTAGTTTCTTAAAAAGAAAAAATAGGTATAATCGCTATCACAGATCTATAGGAAGGTACTACTGCAAAAAAAAAAGTACGGTAAATACTCTGAATAACTATGTGGAGGGCAGTATTAATTAGTTCACCACTGTGCTAAAATCTTACTGGAAGAAGGATGAGTTGAATTTAAAAGCAAACTGGAACAGAAGACACTTTCAGATGTGTAACATAGGATAGTTTTGAAAGGATGTCTGTGAGGTACAGCCTTACTCCTGGCAGGTCTAGTTGGCATCGTGTTTATGTGATTATACACAGATTTGAGAGAGCTGTTCCTAAAATAAAATTAATCTCTCTAAATACAAGCAGGATAGCCAGAACTTCAGATGTTGGCATACTGCCTTTTACAGGGTAATTTTACTGAGAACAAAGTAAGCCCTCAGTAGTTTTGGCTCTAAGTTAGCAATATTGATTTCCCTCTCCTGCTAAGCTAAGAGCTTACCAAAATATGAGGCAATTTCCCTGACTTAATGGAAAAATACCTAGCCAAGTATGCCAGCCCTGTCCCCCCAAAAGCAGTAGTTTTATCTTAAGGTAGCTGAGTTGGATGGTTGCAAAATGATACACTGTAGGAAGCTCCCCTGAACTATGAGTCCTACTATTGATTTAAAAGAACCACTGCAGCTGGGAGGCAATGGGACGGTGTTTCC